TGGGGGTGTTGGGGGGGTGTATGGGGGTATTGGGGCCCTCTATGGGGGTGTTATTCGGGGATCTGGACCCTTTTTTTTTTCTTTGTTTTTTTTTTTGCGGGGTGCCAACGACCCCTGGCCGGTAGTTGCCGACCAGCTGATCGGTCGGCGGGTCGGCAGCCGACCAGTCAAGAGCCGCCGGCCGTCAGGGGGTGCAACGCTGGACAACAGGGAAAAGCCAGAAGAGAGAAGACGACGGAATCTGACCTGCTACACCTCTCCTCGCACAGTCTGACCAGGTTGAGTCCTTGGGTTGATCCGTCTGCAAATCATTACAAAACAGAAGGAAACGGGGGAGACAGTCTGCTAATCAGTCTGAAGCAGAATGAAAGGGAGGAGACGGTGGGGATGGGGAAGAGGGAAAGAGCAAAAAAACAATAAAAAAATACACATACGGATGAGGGTGAAAAACACTCCATTTAAATAACAAGTAAAATGACGAGGTGCAAAGAACTAGTCACAAGCAAGGAAGGAGGAGGCTGAGGAGAAAGAAGAAGAAGAAGAAGAAGAAGACGAAGAAGAAGAAGAAGAACAAGAACAAGAACAAGAAGAAGAAAGAGGAAGAAGAAGATGAACAAGAAGAAGAAAGAAGAAGAAGATGATGTTACGATCCTGGTCAATTTTGAAGTGCAAAATTCACGAGAAAGCACAACGCTGTCCAATTGCAAAAGAAATGAATGAACTTGAGAGGAGGGAGAGATAAATAAGAAAAAGAAGGAGAAAGAAAAAAAAAGAAGAAGATGTACACCAGCAAAAGACCAATGACAATACCCCCTTCACTCGCCAACCAACTCCTCCTCCTTATCACCGCCTCTCTTATTCAAACAACAAATAACAATAATAATAATGAATGGCTGTACCAGAATCAAAGTCCGAATCTCTCTTCTACTGCTTCGCAAAACTGAAGTCCAATATAGCCATGGCCTCCTTCCTCCTCTTCAATCAGGCCAAGGCTATGGCGGACTACTAAGGGTCTAGCCCTGCTACGCAAAAGACAATGCAAAGCAGCTATGTACGCTGCTATTCAGGTGGCATGACGCCCAAACTTGCATACCGCAAATGAGGAGGAGCACTTCGCTTCTCCTGGAGATACAGCGGCCTACCTGCCTCTTGGGCGGTGACTTCCTGGCCACGCGGCCTCCAAGCAACCGGTACCTCCTCCCTTTCGGAGGGAAACATCATTGCAGGCTCTGATATTGTCCGCACATGCCCTAGACTCAGGCTACTTGGACTGGTACCCGCCTACCTCTATGCCTACCACTACTGAGCCTCTAAAAATGCTAACTTTTTGTCTTCTTCTGCTCGGCCTCCAGTTCCCGACACATCTATTGCTACTTGAGCGGTACCGGCCTCCCTGCTCTAAGTGTCGTGGGCCTACTCCCCGCCACTTGAATGTTTTTCCCGCTGCAACCCTCAAAGTTACGGCCACAGGTACGTACCGGCCCCCTTGGGCCTTCCAAACAAACAAGTGCCCTGGAGGGCCAGATACACACTCAGGCCAACAAGCACCCATACAGGCACACGAACCTGCAAGCACGCACACACACAGAGACTTAGAAAACTCAGCAGAACCCGGAAATCTCAACAAGGCATTCATTCCAGCGGCAAAAATAAGACATCAGCAGTGTTCTCAGTCTGTGTTTTGGCGGGTCATTAAGCTACCCCCCCCCTCAAGAGCGAGGTCCCTTCCAGCAAGTGACTCACTCAGAGTCCCTGCAAGATGCATCATAAGCGAATATTGCAAAGAGGGTTCCGGAAGACGTAGCAGTGAGAGCCGCAATGACATCAGAAATAATACGTCGCTCATATGCTTTGACAACTCGGGGTGAACTTTGCAACAATTCCTTCTTTGAAATCCAGAACAAATCATTTAGCGGGTGGTAAAAAAAATGACCTCGATACTGTCTATTACGTCCCTTCCCAGTAAGACTCACAATCCTGTCAATCCCATGACTGCCCTTGATAGCGCGAGGGATCATAGGCTCACGATAAGGAAAGGAACCAGGATCACGATACGGAAACAGTTAAGACTCGTGAAAAACCGGATACGTGCGCAGATGAGGAGGCACATCAATCACATATGAAGGACCAAATTCACCGTCTCCCTCTACCTTCAACACCTCCCAAGGACCATAATAGAGAGGAAGGAGTTTACGAGACCCTCCCTCTTTTTCAAAGAACTCGTACATCTTGACCCAGACATAACTTCCCACTTCAAATGGTGCAGGCTGAGGCTTCTTATTAGCGTGCTTGATCATGGCCGCTCGACGCTTCTTCATTGTTGCAACAACAGTTTTGAGCATGCAGTCGTAAATGGCGTTGTAGCCAAGTCGGCCAGGTGTCAGACCAGGCACCTGATCACGAAACAAGAAGGATAGAGGATTGCTTATCTTCCATCCATAATGCAACCGATTTGGTGTCATGCCGGTGGAAGAGCGGATGAAGTTGTTGTACAACCCCTTCACAATAGGCAATTCTACATCCCACGTGTTCTGGTCGGGAATAATAAGAGCAAGGAGAAGTTAAGTAACAGTATGGTTGATCTCCTCATCCAAACCATTGGCTTCGGGATGACGACTAGATGTCATATTAAGCTTGATATCGTAGATTTAGGAAGTGAAGTCCTTCCAATTCACGATAATGAACTGGTATCTCGATCACTTACAAGAGTCTTCGGGGGTTCACATTGTAGAATATAATGCTTATTAAATTATTTGATTACAACTTCAGTTGGGGGAGGTAAAGGATAAACATTATTTCTAATGATTCGATTAAACCCTCAGTAATTAATACACATCCGGAGTTTTTCTCCTTTCTTGGGAACAAATAAGATGGGCGCATCAAATTCAGATTCGCTAGGCTTAATCCACCCTCTGTCGATCATGTTGTTAACCTGCCTTCGCAGTTTTTCAAACTCGTCGGGTCCCATACGGTACACAACCATTTGGAGGAATGCTGCTTTCGATCAACTCGATCTTGTGCTTGACCACATTCATGGGAACCTTCGGTGGTTCGACCATGAATCCGGGGATCGGTTGTGAAGGCTTTGGATATTTGCCAAAATTTCCAGAGGCGGAGGATAGAACCAGCATGCAAAGTAGTAGTAGTACTTGCCGAAAAGTAGAATGCACATGGGTAGGGCTAACAAAAGCTATATTCAATTGTTTGTCCTCCTTACGTCGGCACAATTTTTTGCAGAATTGCATGACATCGAGAAAAGTCACTGGGGACTCGCGCTTCTCATCCAAGAGGACAAAAAACTCATTCCTCAAAGCATCTCCCATTACGAGCAGTGAATCCTTCCACATAGTTATAACACATTGGGATTGCAACAAGCCCAAGCCAAGAACTGCGCTGAAGGGACACTTGTTGAGGATGTAGAAATTCAACGCGTGTGTCGGTTTTGCTTTTGTCGAAGGTAGTGTGCACACCTTTGACTGCATGCGTGGAAGTGACAACCTCGTAGTTGCCCACTTAGGTCTGACAAGGGTCCTGCAATTCCACTTGCTTCATTCCCAAACCCACCTTGCGAACCCCACGTGGAGAAAGAAGAGTAGTAGAGGAACCACAATCAACCAAGACACGGAGGTAACGGTGGTTAATGAGAAGCTTGAAGAAAATCAACTACACAGTCCTTTGAGCACGACATTGTTTCATCTCAGCCCAATCTGCAAGTGAGAGTGGTCTCTAGACTCCTCCTAAGGCTCAACATATAGGATTGGATGTGTGGCAGCCTTCGAATCAGCAGATGAAGGGGCATCAAAAGAAGGTTGTTGAACAAAATGAGATCCCGTAGAGGGATTACCGCTATCAATTCATCCTATCTTGTGGTAGAGTGTGCTGACAACAACTCTACGCCCGTTGCTGGTTTCCTTGCAACCTAAAACACTTATCAATTGTGTGTCAAGGCCTCTGGCAATGCAGACAAACATTTCTTTGAGCCTACTTTTCCATTCATTTTCGATAATTTGGAGATCAACCCAAGGTTTGGTTGGTGCAGCTTCCGGTTTAGTTGGGATTTTGGCTTCTTTGGGGGGATGAAGAGTGTTCTTCCTCGAGTTACGCTTTGGCCCCTTACGATTCTTGATAAACTTACAACCATTTCGCCAAAATTGACATTTTTTATTTTTTGAACGAAATTGAAACCGAGTTTTTTCAACTTTTTTCGCCGAAAACTCTCTATAAATTTGCTGCTTTTGAGGAGTCCTTCCTGGATGTATCTGGTCTCAAGCATAGTCCTGATACATCCAGGAGGTCCAGCGTCTTAAAAATGCTGAACCCTCAAGAGCAGCAAAATTTAGACGAGTTTTCGGCCAAAAAAACTGAAAAAACTCAGTTTCAATTTCGTGCAACAAATAAAAAATGTTCATTTTGATGAAATGGTAGTTCAATCAAACTAGTGGGCTAACGAAGAGTAAGATGCCTTGCAGTCTTGCTGGATCGTCACCAAGAGAAGAATCGTCTTCAAAGGCCTCCTCGTCAACCTCTAGTTGATCGTGCACTGCAACACGGTTGTTGCCTGAAAACCATTTGCGGTTGATGGTCTTTCTACCACCCGATCCACCCGAGAGGTCTTGTGCCACTAGTTTGACTGAATCCTGAATTAGGGTAAGCCAATCCATATAGTCCGCGCGTCTGAGCCTCGAACAATAAGATGTAGTAGAGGGAACTGTACCTTTAATCACATCTAAGCAAGACTGTGCCCTCATTTCCAAGTTGGGAGTAGCAAAAAACTTACTAACATAATGCTGCAGATCGTGCATGGTGCTTGTCCACTTGTTGTGTTTGAGTTTGTCAAGCTTGTCCCTAGCCTTAGATAGTGCATGGTGCCCGTACACTTGTTGTGTTTGAGTTTGTCAAGGTTGTCCCTAGCCTTAGTTGCAGTATGTGAATCTCCATATTGTTTGGTTAGGAGTTCCTTGAATGTGGCTATAGACGTAGCTTTCAACCATTTGTTCAGGTTTATTCTTTTGTGGCTTGACTGTTCAACTTGAGTTTGTCAAGCTTGTCCCTAGCCTTAGATCGTGCATGGTGTCCGTCCACTTGTTGTGTTTGAGTTTGTCAAGGTTGTCCCTAGCCTTAGTTGCAGTATGTGAATCTCCATATTGTTTGGTTAGGAGTTCCTTGAGTGTGGCTATAGACGTAGCTTTCAACCATTTGTTCAGGTTTATTCTTTTGTAGCTTGACTGTACAACTTGGACTTCTAAAAAACCCTGTACTACGGGTTTCACATTGGTCCCTAAGACCGACGACGGAGTAACT